TCAGTGAAACACACATTCTTGTCTTGTGAAAAATGAAAGATCTGGTACACTGGTAACTAGTCCGGATGCCAGCTGTACATCTGCACAAGCCATGTGGCCTACATTTTATCACAATTATCACCACGTGATAATCAGATGTTGCCTGATGCTAAGGCTAAATACTGTATCCATCTGAAGACCACTAGTTAAGAGCAAGAGATTTTTAAGCAACAATGAGTTCATTGTCATTTTTGTTGGCATTTTTTTAATAGTCTTGTTTCTAAAGTGAAGTAAAAGGAGTCAGAAAGAAATATTTTTTTTTAAGAAAAATGAAAGTGAGCTCCTTCTTCCTTGGAAATGAAGAACAGCCCCTTGTCTTTAATATGCAGTGGTGCACAGTAATGCCTTGCACCCAGTGCCACGTCAGTAATTCATGTTACCTCCTGGCCCCCAGGAACATTTGAGTTTGCAACTACTGGTGTATGAATTTTTTCTCTCTCTCTCTCTCTCTCTCTTATTTATTAAACTATTCTACATTAGGAGCACTTAGCTCATCAAAAATGTTTTAAAATTTCTCTAAGTGACAAAAGCATAAATCGAAGAGCAATTTGTCACTTTTATAAGCTCAGAAAATACCAAACTGGTTTTCTCATAAAGATACTGTCACCCGTTAAATGGATAAACTATTAGGTTACAAATAAAAAACACCCACACTTAGGAGTCTACTGATGTGCAAGTTGTTTACAAGCATAACTGGACTGATGGGCTCCAGTCATGACACCGTAAACCCAAAGCTTTACGTGTGTGTTTTTCAAACTCTGATCCAGGGACATCGAATTGCAGACTGACTATGGCCACAGGACATGTGGGTAGGGAGGGGCAGAATGTGTGTCAAGGCCAAGTTGCAGTGGTATAGGTTGTGCACTGAACAACTCTAGGGGGCATGATTCACTTAGGATATAAATTATCTCCCTTGGAGTTATGCAAACGTGTGCCCAGTTATGGAACCAACTGCTGGGTACACCCTTCACATCTGTTGTTTTGATACCCTCACTTCTGCATCAGTTAAAAGATCTTACCCCGGTTTGTCCCCTTTTCATTTGGGGCTTTCAGAGTAGTTTTAAATTTAGGAATTATGTTACTGTTAAATATGAATTTGAATCCATTGTGCTACATGATAGGTAAAAGGTACTTTTTAAGTAAAGGCGATTATTTCAGATTACTAAATAGTTTTTCCTTGAATGTGCCACAGTTAACCACCGGAAAAAAGAAAGAATAGTTACTCCTCATCTTCTTTTAAAGCCTTTGCAAACATGCTGCATTTTCTCACAATCATTTTTTAAACATATATAGAGAGAGTGAGATATATCTGGCTTTTTGTTTGTTTTAAAAATGAATAACCCCAAACATATAACTTTGCATTTTAACTCTTGTGTAGTATGAACATTTTCTGTTTTTAGTGCTAGAAATCATAACTCTTAGTGCCAGCATAATACTAAATTAGATTATTGAATCACAGTGCATTTAAACAAAGCTCTGTTATATAGTACATAGCTTTGGCATTCCTTTTGCTTTTCTTACCCTTTTTTTGGCTATCAAATGTAATTTGTGTGTGTGTGTGTGTGTGTGTGTTGTTAAAACCTTATTTGAGTCCTTAAATCTTTCCTGTTGTACATTCCTGGTAGTGTAGCAAGAAGAACGAAAGACATTAGCATCTTTAAGATTTAATCAGATGGGTCATGAACCTAGAAAGAAAACTAAACCCAGATGCAGGGCATGAGGGGGTCTTGCTATATTAGATGAGTTTGTTAGGTAAGACCATTCTGAGGCAGCACCACATGATCTGAAGGAAAGACTGAAAAGTGGGGTTGTACCTGGGGTTATATATAAGGATGTTCTTCCAGGAAGAGGAATCAGGAAGTGCTCAGGCCCTGAGGTTTAACTTGCTTTGAACTTCCTGGGACAAAAAAGGACTTCAGAGCACTGGACTAGAGTGACCAGGGGCCTGGAGGGGCTCAGAACAGAGTTGATTGGAAGTCAGACAAAGGGCTCATTACCCTTGGTAGAGATTTGCAGGGTTGTGGGATTTGAAGCCATTGAAGGATGTTGAGCTACAAAGTGACGTGACCTGATCACCTTGTGAATAATCAACTGTAGAGCAAGAATGGAAGCACTGACAGTTAACAGGTGATCTCAGAGTTTCCAGAAAGAAAGAAATAATGGTAGAATAGTAATGGCAGAAGTGCCCCCTGATCTGCAGAGTCAGCAAGAACTAAACAACCACAAGAAGAAAACTCTTTGTGTACACCTGTGTGTGTGTATATAATTTTAGTCTTTGCTATCTTGGTGGGGAAAACTCCATTATATTGTTATTTTTGATTTTTTTTTTTATTGTTAGTGGTGTGGAATATTCAAGTGTTTAATTGCCTATATTCCTTTTTTTCTTCAACAAATTATGTATTCAATGTATTCAATATATATATATATATATATAAATCTGATTATAAAGTCAGTTTATAATCAGTTTACATGGGAGTTTGAAATATTCAGATTATTATTTTTCAGATCACGCTATTATCAATTTTTTTATCTATTAAATTCATAACAAATGTTTTCCCCATTTGTTGGCCACTTCATTTTGTGTATGAGTTCATTTTATTTAAGCTCTCAATATAACAACATATACTTGATGAGTGTGGCTTTAATTTCCTCTGGGCCTCGATGCTCTGAGGAATGATTGTTCTGATTTCAGGTGTTTCTGATTTCAGGTCTTTGCTTTCTGCCTCCAGAATTCTGTCCTCAGGGCTCTTTCTGACTTTCTACTCTTTAGGAATAACTCACTTATGAACTGAGACTAGACTCCCTTGTTTCCTGGCTGACTGTTTGGGGGTATGGAAGTTGTGTGAAAAAGAAGTTGAGACATAAAAGAACAGTTTTCTAAATGCTAAAAATTAGCAAGAATAAAAAATAATCACCTGAAAAACAGGCTATGTACATTCTGAATTTCTGAAAGGGTGGGGCAGTTTTCCCGTACTTACTTTAAGAAGACATATTTGTTCTTTCTAGTGAATGAGCAGTGATGGTGATTTTGAAAATCCAATCGTATAGTATTTATCCCAGATATTTGTAACAGTGTTCCTTTCAGCTTTTATTTTTTGGTAGCTAGTGGATTTACTTGTTTTTCATCTTACCCATTAAATGTAAGACATAAAGGGACCGTTTTCTTTGTTTCCATTTTACCCATTAAATGTAAGATGCTTGAAAGTAGAGATTATGACGATTTTGTTTATCTCCCCTTTCCGAACTCTCTGAATCATCTCACATATTCAATAAATATTTGAATGTTTGCTATGTGAATAAATAAATAAATGAAATAGTCAATGTAAAGGGGGGACCTATGGTATTGTTGTCCTAGACTCTAGTGATCAAGTGATACTATAAAGTTGACTCTGGTGCCTTACTTTGTCAGAACAGTGTTTTCATCTTTGGGTCACTATTTGGATTACAAGTGGCACTAACAGGCTAGAGGGTAGTAAGGCCCTAAGGGAATCAAGGGGTGGTTGTCAGAGTGCTATCTTGCCACCCTGCTCCACAGAACATTTGCAGCTTTTGATGTGTTAAAACAATTCTCACATCTCTTCTTTTGGCAGTATTGTATTTCTCAAAATGGACTCTACTAGGGTAGATTTTAGATGACTAATGAGTTTTGATAGTGCAAATTCACGGTAATGGATAGCACTTGATGGGGGTCTAGAATTCCAGGGTCATTATAGATTTCCTTTCTGATAAATCCTTTTTTCTAGAGACCAACAAATCCTTATTAAAGTATATTGTTATATAATAAATTCTATTTGTTGTGATAAGTTGGAAATTTTTAAACATATAATGAGGCATTTTATTCTAAAACCAGCTTTCAATGATCTATGCTAATGGTGGAAGGGCATGATGAAAATCCCCATGATACATATGCTTCTGTGTGGTGAGATAACTTTGGTGTACTCCTGTCATTGATTTTTTATTTGAATTAGGATATGTATGTTTCTGTTAAGTTACTGTGTTTAACAAATGCTGAGAAATAGTTAAGTTGTTGTCAAACAAGAAGTGCGCCAATATGGCACTAAGGAGTCAAGATGTGTAGATGTAGAATGAAAGTACTCAGTTTAGGACAAAAACTGGCCTCTTTTGTGAAATAGAGGAACCCAAAGTATGGTATACCTCAACATGAGAAGGTTGGCAATTTAGGGGCCATAGGTTTACACCTGTGCCTTTCTCAAGCGATCAAGGACAGGATTAGAATGGAATGGAAAGAAGAGGATAGGTTTTCCAGGAGCCAACTAGAGAAAACAAACCAGATATGGAGCTAGCCTCCACTCGGAGAAATGCACAGTTCACCCAGAAGTCGGGGCCTAACCCAGCCCAAGTACCTGTGGGATCATTGAAAGAGCGACATTAATTGGAAATAGATTTTTCAAAGCCAGGATACAATGGAATTTGAATCCATGTGCCTACGAACTCCCAAATATGTATTACTTTGTCCTTTTATACATTCTCACACCTATTAAAGTTTACTTAAATACAGACATAGTGACTTGAAGCCTTGTCTGACAACGTAATATCCTCTCAGCACAAAGCACAAGTTCTGCATGTGTGTGAATTTTCTGAGCTCTATTTCAAATCAGTTATTGAAACATCATTGCCATCAGAATTGTAATAAAAATGAATTATATTGAAATGACCTAATTGCAGTAACCTCTCTTCTACTATTCACAAAATGAGTTAATTCAGTTGGATATTTGTGTTCTTTTCCTACCTCCAGTTTATTGACTTGGGTATTAATTTCCAGAATACATCATTTATTAAATAAAGAGAATGGGGAAAAGGAAAAGGAAAATAAGGAATAAAGATCATTACGATCATGCTATGTTAGTTATGTATCTCTCCCACCCTCCAGAACTGCTCACCTCCCAGTTCTAGATTTTTTTTTTTCCTGATGATTTGTCAACATTCCTTTCTTTTTATAGGTAGAATGGCTGAAAAATGAGGAGCCCATTGACTCTGAGCAGGATGAGAACATTGACACGAGGGCTGACCACAATCTCATCATCAGGCAGGCACGGCTCTCAGACTCAGGGAATTATACCTGCATGGCAGCCAACATCGTGGCCAAGAGGAGGAGCTTGTCTGCCACAGTGGTGGTTTATGGTAAGACCAGCCCAAAAGCCAAGAGTGGATGGGGAGGATGGAAAGCAGAGAAGCCCAGGGATGTGTATTTCATTAACGCTTAAAGTTTGCCAGCTGTAGGATTTGGGTAGTCATTCCCCACAGCACTCTCCTGTCTTCTCCCAGATGGCAGGGGACAGCACATCCCTATTGCTTTTAATGTGCTTGTTCTTCTACTCACGAATGCACTTCTGTGAGATAGTCTAGTGATACTTCCAGCATCTCTCTTAAAAATAATTTAAGAAGTTGTTTACTTTCTTCTGTTGTGTTTATATCTGAAAAGAATTGAGGCAGGCAACTTGTGCATTTCACCCCTCACAAAACCAGCATCAACCCCCATCCTCCTATGCCCTGCTGTTGGTAGTTCCTCTCCTGGCATAGACATCCACCAAAAAACAAACAGTGCTATTTGTGGAGTATCTCAGGTATTATATAAAAGAAATGTCCAGCTATTTTAGTAAAGGCATCCCCTTCCACAGTAGGATTTATTTTGGAAGTGCTGACAGTAATAGACATTCAAATGTTGACATTCTTTCTTTATACTCTGGATTTTCAAGTGCTTTAGAGATATGTTGATGATTTCTTATTATTTTGTAAATTCTCCTGTCCCCCCCCAAAAAAAAATAAATACTCCCATGTCCCTCTTACAGCAGATGTGTAGACTGAAACATAGAGATGAGGTCAAACCCCACTGTTGTCTCACGATGGAGCAGCCAGTGGGGTCCACATGGTCTCTCTCTTGGTCCCTGGATGCCCAACTCACAACACCTGGCACAGTGACTTGCACATAGTAGGCAATCAGTAAAAACCTCTCTCCTTTTTTCTCCCCTCCCCATTTTTCTCTCTCAGTGAATGGAGGCTGGTCTTCCTGGACAGAGTGGTCAGCCTGCAATGTTCGCTGTGGTAGAGGATGGCAGAAACGTTCCCGGACCTGCACCAACCCAGCTCCTCTCAATGGTGGGGCCTTTTGTGAGGGAATGTCAGTGCAGAAAATAACCTGCACTTCTCTTTGTCCTGGTGAGATATAGATTCCCTTTTCCCTTCTGATCCACCAACATTATTAAGCTGGTGTGAAGCAATTAATATGGCCTTCCTTCCTAAAGTTCCTCTCTCCCCAGAAGAATGGGACCTTTGTCCAAAATGCTAATAATCAGTAACAAAGGGGGTGAAATTCCTCTGTGCACAGATCATGGGCATAATATTTTTGACATTCTTAGACGACCTTGGACACTCACGGCATTGATATACTAAATGCTTCTAAATATTTTTTATACTATGAGTTTAGTTGGCTGAGTTCCCTTCTCTCCTTGGGTTCTCCCATTTTGTGACATTCATTTGTACAATGTCTAGCAGGGAGGAAGTGAGTGGTCTGTGAGCACATAAAGGGTCAGATTTGCAGTACCTTTTATCATGAGTTACCAGTCAACTAACCTTACCATCTCTAGCTTTGTATTTACTTTCAATACAATTGGCAGAGGTTGAATAGTACTACAGCAGTTAATATTTCACACTTCGCCTATGCTTGTTTCCCTTTATGGATAGGCAGATTTCAATTACCAATTTTTTTTTAAGTTCTAAAACTGACTTTAGCCCAGATTTACAAGGAGAAATGGATGAGTTTGAAGATGACTTTATTTATGGAAAGCATCTCTTCCCACTGTGAAATAAATTATTCTTGGGTCTCATGCAGGATAAAATTTTAACTTCAAGACACTGAGCTACAGCCTTGTCTTTAAAGTTTTGACTGTAGTTCCACTGAAATTAAGGTGGGGCTCTCAGCAGCAACATAATCTTAGAATTCAATTTGAACATGTATTTTTCAAACATTTATTGAGTGCTTACTATGTGCCAGGTACTGTGCATAAGTCTTACACATGTGTGCTGTCACTTAATTCTGTGTTGTGAGTTGTTATTATCACCTTGGCTGAAATGGTAAAGTGAGACTAAGGACTGACCCGGGGTTGCTCAGTCAATAAATTTGCAGAACCAAAACAAGGACTCAGACATTTGGCTTCAAATTCATTCGTTTTTATATTGGCCTATTATTGGTAATTATTCTAGATTAAAAATTGCAAAATCTTAAATAACCCACTTATGCATGGTTGGACTATTCCTAGGAGGTAATGGAACAATTGCCTCAAACAGCTGCCATGATCTCTAGGGTTGATTTTTTAGGGGAATTAAATTCAGTTTGTTCATTTCTATACACAGCAGCAATCTATGACCCAAGAAATTCTATTTATGTAAGTCTTGGTACCTTGGGGTTTGACTGACCTGTTTTAGCTTAATACTATCAATATATATGGGTTTAACTTTTTATTGTTTAGGAGCTTTAGGGCTTAAAGATAGTTCATTCTACTCTCTGTTCTAAACTGTCAACCCACAAAGAAGTGGTGATTACCAATGGTTACGGCAGGTAGTTTATCTGTCCATCTGAGATGTGCTTGGGCATGAAAGACTGGGAAAGAATGAATAATGATATGATTAGCCAACCCAAGGGCACTGGTAATTCAAATGCTTGCCTACATTCAGTAATTGGGCTCATCTTGAAATAGCAAGAGAATTATACCACTGTTTTTGTTAGTTTATTTCTTTAGGAAAGAAACCTTGGAGAGAAGATAAATGAAATGATTTTATTTTTGTTGTGATGGTAAAATCCAGCTCTAAGAACAGCACTCCTGGGGTGAATCTCCTGACAGCCCCCGCCCCGTTCATTCTAACAATGGTTCCTCTTGTTTTCTTTCGAAGTGGATGGGAGCTGGGAAGTGTGGAGTGAGTGGTCGGTCTGCAGTCCAGAGTGTGAGCACTTGAGGATCCGGGAGTGCACCGCACCACCCCCACGAAACGGGGGCAAATTCTGTGAAGGTCTAAGCCAGGAATCTGAAAACTGCACAGATGGACTTTGCATTCTAGGTAACACCTTCTGTGTTCTTCTATAATCTGAAAAGAAACATAATGTGCATTTAGTGAAATAAGTTAAAGCAAAATTACAAGCATAGAGAAGTAGACAAATACATTTCTTAACTAGAGGTGTCATGAATTTAAATACTTTATCATGGTAATTCCCATTTTGTGTATTCAGCTATATAAGCTAACCAGGGAAGTTTAAAAACAAAAACAAAAGTGTTTAGAGCTTTTTAGCTTAACAGTTCTTTCATATTAGCCACTGATTTTAGTTTGGTGAAATTCTGAGGTGTTTCACCACATGCTGATGTATCTCCAAAGAATTTTGAAGCATTTTAACAATTTTCTGAGGCATGCATTGGGACTGTCATAAGTGGGGGTACAAGATACCTGAAAAGGTGGGTGCCAGTCAGTCTGGCTGAGCAGGAAGTAGGATGGTCATTTTAAAACCCCAGCAGCTCTGCTCCTGAGATTACACCCTCGCCATCTCTAGGTAAGTGCGGCTGTGTAAAGGATCAGATAGTCAAGAGAAGTTCGAATTGGTCTTGTCCTCATGCTAACTTTGTGTTCCTCGATAAGTCATTATCTGTTTAACCTCTCTGACTGTAAGTACAAACAATGCAGTTTATTCATGGTTATTGTCAAGAACTAAATGATAAACAAACCTATTTGAATATTCCATGGCACAGAGTAGTAGGTGCTGTCTAAAGATTAATCCTGCTCAAATAAGCTAAGGTGAATTGATTTTCAATAGATTTTAAAAAATAGAATATGCAGGGCATATTTATTCTATAGAACCAGCTTGCCTATTGGAAAACATCCAACAAAAATAATATAGCTCAATAGGGTGTTTTTTTTTTTTTTATTTGGGAAGATAACAATTTTAAGGCAGTAATCTAAGTTGAATGTATTTATTTATTTATTTATTTATTTAGCACCAGTATGAGTGGGTATTCTTAAAAGCAAGTATAGTTAAACATGTTAACTACTGCATTTTCAGAATAAATTTACATGATGAGTACATGAAATGAGGCATCTGAGAATACCTTTATTTTCTCAATAGATACTCTTACCCTATTGGTATCAAATATAAGGCACTGTAATAGAAGACAACCTAGCTACCACTTTCAGTTTAAAGGACCATGCCCCTAATAATTACATTCTAACTGTATGCCTTTATCCTTCCAAATGTAGAGAAACATAACACAAAATCAATAGCATCGGTTTAAGGAAATACATTTTGAGTGTACTCAACTATCACCAGAATTTTCTGAATTATGTTTTTTTTTTATATATATATATTTAGAACTGTGTATCTGATAGCTTTCAATGACCCTTTGACAATATTTTGCCTCTGGTTGAATTTTAGACAATCATAGTAATAATCTTCTCTATCAACCACCAATTAGATTTGCACTTAGGGAAAATCTATGATTCTTGAAGACACTAATCATCATGTATTGGATAGCAATTCTTTGAAATAATAGGCATTTATCAGTTGAGTAAGTTATACTTAGGAATGAAAGAAATTTTCAGGATGTACTGGGCAGCCTACAACTCAATTCTAAAATCTCAGATGCTGTATTAGTCAGGATTCGCTAAAGAAATAACAAAAGCAATTGGATGTACATGTGTATATGTATACCACACAGCTATATTAAAGATTTACTATAAGGTGTTGACTAAAGATTCTGACAAGTTGAAAACCTGCTGAACTTGATGCCCCAGTTTAACAAAAAAAAGTATTAGGAGGATTCCCTGTTGCTCAGGTGAGTTTGGCCTTCTGACGATTGGATACGGTCCACCCACACCTTGGGGGTCATCTGTTCATCTCATTCAAAAACATCCCCACAGAATCAGGTACTACCAAATATTTGGGTACTTGATGGCCCAGTCAAGGTGACTCATAAAAAAATTAGTCATCACAGATACATAGGTACTTACGAAGTTTGGTTGCCTTAAGCAATTTCTTGACTTACCAAACAAACATACCATAGAGGTATTGGCTGTGTGTGGTTATAGTCCCGGCATGTGTACTTTGATGAGTATTCTTTTCATTTTCCTATGAACAATAAAGTTGAACACATTTCAAATTACATTCACTGTTACACCCACCCCACCACCACCACCACTGGGAGTTTATATTGTGAAGTGAAACTTTTCTGTATCCTATTCAATCGTCTTTCATTCTGTTTGTTCATCTAGCTCTTTCTAAGTAAAGCATAGGTCTTACTAGTATTCTTTGCTTCCACAGTATGTATCTTCAAATGTCTTACTTGATGGCTGCAATGATAATGCTTCTTGAGGGGGAAAAAAGCAGTGTCTCATAAATACACCTCTGTGATCTCAGTGGGAAAGGGTTGTATTTATAATACATCAACATCATGATATATTCTACCCTTTTACACTAGAGTGGCTACCAATGTTAACAGAAATAAGTAACATTTTACCATCTGTGCAAGAAACCATGACCAGTGAAATGATACCACTGATGGTTTGACTTGCTATGGAGGGCTCTTGGTAAAGCTAGTTGGGCTGCACTGTCAGGATACTAGGCCAGTGAAGTCTGGGTTTGATTAAAATAGCATTTGGTAACAGCTTTATGGAGCAGTAGCTTTGTGAAGGATCTAGGTCATGCTACAATCTGGGAATTTCCTTCATCCTAATTTTTTCCTTTCTTCTAACCTTCTCTTAGAGACTTAGTGATGACATTGTTTAATTCTTGGATGACCTACAATTCAGGTTGTATTTAGCTTTCAACAAGGCATCTGGCTTTCCTTTGTTGCCTCAAGGGCTTCATCTCTCCTAGAGACAGAGCTGCTAGCTCTGAGTGATCACTTTAATAGATCAGTGTGAAATGTTGCTTGATAGTTGTTACTATAGCAGAGAATCTGTAGTGTTGTGCTGTCACAGATGACCACACCCAAAATGCTCTCAGTGAGAATGTGAATGTTGTCAAGACTGAAAGATTAGGCATTTTTTGCCAAGACCAGTTAGTCTAGGTATCCATAATGTAAGCACGGGCATCAATGCCTTTACCTAGCAAAGAACATGTCTGCTAGAAAGATAATGTACTATGAACATAGTCACCTTTTTTAAACTTACATACTGGACTCATGTAATTGTCTATCCACTGTCCTTTCTTCTTGTTGAACATAGCTGCCACAGTGCCTTGAACACTGCAGCCAGAGGTAAATAGCACACACATGCTACATCAACAAGAAAAAAAGGGCAAAAATGGCAGATGTGCAGTTTGGTTCTGAGGAATATTGAAGCCCCTGTTCTTTCTCTCTTTATTCCAGCAGATATAAAAACTAAGGGCTTTGGCTTGAGAAGATTAAATAGATCTGCTTCTGGGGGGATTAGTACCTAGATGTGTAGTGAGACTAAAGCCACAGAAATGCCAAGGGGCCTGAAAAAGAGAGGAAATCTTCAAGGCTGAGCTACCTGAGAGCTAATCCATCCTTCTTGTCAAGATGTAAGATAGGTCAGTTCAACACTGACAGTTCAGAAAACTAAAACACAGTAAAATGGTACTTTTATTATTTTTTTTAACAATATACCCATCAGAAGTGAAAACAAAGTTTGAATTGACACTTCTGCATTGACACTTTGGAAACCACATCAAAGATAAAGACATCCCCAAGCTACATCTAATAATCTAGCCACACTGTCTATTGAATCATCCACTTAAATGACCTAAAGGAAGCAGTTGAAAAGGTGAACCCATAATCCTATCAAAGTAAAGGTTGCCTTGTTAAGCATTTCTCCTGGATCTTCTAAGCCTCATTATCCATTACAGTAATTACCAGGATCCCTTCCCTGTCTTCCCCTAGGGTGAGTAAGAGGATCTTCATTCTGGAGTAGGCTCAATAAAGGTAGTACTTTTTGCTGGGAGTTAACAGAATACCTATTTTGCATTTAGGGTTATAATGGATGGACATCCTTTTACCGAAACAAAAAACAAAAATGTATCTTTTTTTTTTTTTTTTTACAAAAGGCTCAAGAAGCATTGATTGTTAAATTTATTACTTGATAAGTTCATCTTTCAGGGCCAGCTACCTTGCACAACTGTATAAATGCAACAAAGGTAAATGGTATAGCAAAGGTCTGAAAATAACATCAGCAAGGTAATATGCACGTACAATACATTCTTAAGTTGTCTGTCAGGGAGACTCCTAGCTAATGTTCCGTAATAGATTTCTATTCTGTTTCCGTAGCACCTACTATATACTATAGATAAAAATTTTCCTAGAAATACCTGGTACTCACTTTTCTGCATAACAAACATTTGATTAATTCGGATTTGCCTTCCTGTATTCTGCATAGCTAATGTGAATATTGCAGGCCCACAGGAGTAATAAGAATGTAGATTTGGACACATACGGTGTCATTAACAGCTTAGCAATGATCTCTCCCCCATGCCCCAGTAAGTACTTTCCCATTATGGGACCCAATAAGACCAGTGAGTAACAAGCTTTAAAGAGACAAAGTAGAAGGCTCATGACTGAAGTTTTCATTGTGCTTAATTAAAAAAAAAAAAAGTGCCTTAGTGAAAGCATAGTTCTACAAAGCTTAAACTGTCATTTTTGTGCCTTTTGACAAGGCTTCACTTGAGTGGTGTATCATGAGTGGAACTAAGGACAAAGACCATAAAATCTGTTGCCTTTGTTGTTCAACCTCTATAGACTTTTCCACTTTTTAAAAAAAAATTATTTATTTATTCGTACAGAACTGGGGTACAGGCCAGAGATGTGGAGGGTGAGAGGATTCAACAGAGACAGAGTGGGGAGCAGAACAAGCAGATCGATGAAGTACATTGCTGAGGGGAGCAGCGGGCGGGTCAGGAGAGGTCTGCCACACCATGATCTCCTCCGGGGCGGGCAGGTGGGAATCGAACTCATGCGGAAGTGGCTTAAGCTTCTTAGTGCTGTGCTTTAACCCGCTGCGCCACCAGGGAGGGCCACAAATTGCATTCTTAATGCAAACCCATTGTGGGCAGTAATCTG